AACTACTCCCTAGTTAGCCACCTTTTACTTAAGGGGCATTTGGTCTTTTCTTCACCCTCCTCCCCTTCCGCAAAAATAAATATTGGGCTGTAGAACTCACATGGACATATTATTCACGTATGTGACACGTACCAATATAATACTAGTAATCTGATGGTATCTTTGCATGTATTACCTGGTTTCCAGTTAAATTTAACAATCGGATGACTATTTTTTCTGTATGACTGCAATGTGACAGTCACAAAGTGGTTTTTGCTCAACAGTGAGATCTTCTGGGATGAGCCTGTCCTGATGTCTTGGATCAAGTCACTGGTCACAATAGAAGGTCCTCCCGAGTACACCCTGACATTTTCTACGTGGTCTTCAATTTTCAGTGCATCAAACTGAAAAATAAATTGCAAAAAGAATTTGGCATTAATAATATAATTCGGCTACACATAACACATAAACACAAATATCGAGCTATAAGTTGGAAACAAATTATTTAAAGACCAATTTTACACTTAAAGGGGCCCGGCTCTCTAGCGTAGTTGGCTAAACTGGATTGCGAACAACTCCTTGTGGTCCAGGTTCACTCCCAGGGGTAGGCAGAAAAGCCACATTTCTCCCAGATTTACAGTATTTACAATGGAATCAAGGCCCAAAGGTTGCGATATCCATAATACCAAGACTAAGGGTTAACAACTCATGGCTTCTGGATACTAAAATAAACAAACAACAACACACTTAAAGGGCATCGAGCACATAGTGCTAGACTTAGATTTTCATTGACCAGTAGGCACTTTTGGGATGATGTGGTCAGCATTGTGCTGGCCATGTTTATTTCAAGGATATTACCTGGTACTGATTTTAATAATCCAACTATAATCAAACACAAAGGGTTAGGAAAATCTGGATTGAACAGCAGTTTTTGAAATATAATGTCTTGCAGTCATGACTGTTGTTGTTCAGTAAAGATATAGCAAGCACACTTCTAGGAGCAAACTAGAAAGAATTACAAAGATAGGTGAGAGCTGTTGCGGCATACTTCTTCTTCTTAAAGTCCGTCCCGTGTGGCGTTGGTAGTCATGTCAGTCTAAAACTTTCTGTCTCGTGTACCTTTAATCGACTTTGATACAGATGATCGTCAATGTCATGATGTCAGACTGTACAGCATCTTTTTTCGTCTCCCTTTGCCTCTCCTCCCCTCAAACATCCTACAGTCACGATGTACTCAATTTTCTCCTTCTCATCATATGACCAAAGAATGGAGATTGTCTTTCTGATGTGGACAGTCCGTTCTCTTTGTGAGTTAGCTTCTTTCAAGACATCTTCATTGCTCTTTTCTGTCCATGATACTACCTACAGTCGTCATCTGCGCTGCCTACAAAAAAGTGTTGTGATAAACAGTGAAGATAATTAAACACTGCTGAGGCATCTTATCAGTGGTGACCATAGTCAAAAGACAAACAATTTATTAGTGTCTGACTATACACAAATCATTTCTTATTAGGCAAGTACTAGCTTGAAGAGTTGATTGAAAGTACACAAGACAGAAGGTTGTGGATAGACATGACTACCAGTGCCACAAAGCATAGACTTGAAGAAGAAAAAGAAAAGGATAAGGAAACATCATTTCACGTTAAAATAAATGCTAACCTCAATTTTAAGTACTTCTCCAGGTTGGCCTTCAATGATCCACTGATAAAAGTCCCCATCTGCAGCCATGTTGCTGGTGTCAACAGTTCCTGTGCTACTTGCGTAGTATTTGACCCTGTCTAGATTAAGACAAATCACTGTCAACAGTGACTATAATTTTTAATACTACAAACTAGGATTTCCTTTTTTTTAAAACTATATCACAGAGAAAATAATGTTAAACTTTTTGGGCACCAAGCAATCCATCGTGCATTGATTTACATTTTATTTAACTGACCTCTGGTACAATGTCTACAGACAAAACCGTGCTTGTCACCCAAAAATGATCATGATGAAAAAAGAGAAAATGTCACATACTTTGAATATCTAGATTCCATAATAAACAGTAATAGAGACTGTTGAACGGTAGTTTAAAGGATAATGGCCATAGCATTGCAATGACTAAACAGTATGAACAAGTCTAAGGAAACAGAAGTGAAAACTGTGCGGGCATGCATCAACCCTGTAGATACATATGGATGTGAGTCGTGGCGTACTCAATAGTGTTTAATTCTTTGAGTCCCAAGAAACTCACCATATATTCATAAGTTCCTACCTAGAAGCCCAAAGAACGCATAATGCGCCGATTTTATTACTCTCTTTACTGGGCCTGTGATGCTAAACCCCCTGGGACTCAAAGAGTTAAGGAATAAAAACAGGGCTTCTGAGCTGACATGCTGTTGAAAGATTCTCAGAATATCATGTACACAGAAGAAACAATATATTCACATCCTAGAAGATCTGAACATCAAGGAAGGCTGGCTAGTAAACAGCATATTGTCTCAGAAACTGAAATATTTTGGCCATATCAAGTGCCACAGGGAATTTAAAAAAAAAAAATAAAAGCAGAAGGCTTTGAATCATGAAGATGGGGCGGGGACTGACCAGCATGAAGATGGAAACAGGAAACAAGTGACATCTTGGGTAGGAAACTACAGGAGGTGGGAGAGCAGTTAAGAGACAGAGCTTCTTTCAGGCAGAATGTGACTGGAGCAACAGTTTTTAAAAAAGAACTGTAACATGATGGTGTCTTTTGGTACTGAAAGAGGATAGTTTTTGGACACAATAGAAGAAATACAAATGGGAGAACTTGCAAAACAAGCATAAATACATACTAGAAACTATGAACTTAACAATATATGAAACATGTTTTATAGCTCACAATGGAACATCAACATATAATAATAATCCGAAGGGCAACAAACAAAGGGGGAAAAAAGGTAAAGAGTCCTACCACTGCAGTCATTCTCATCGGATAAGTCCTTGCAGTCAAAAGCTTCATCACATTTCCATCTTGTGTTTATACAAGATCCATCACTGCACTGAAAGGAGCCTATAAAATGTATAATTTAATTTAATGTTACTTCTGGTTAAATGAACTACATCTAATTTAATCTTTCATGCCAAAAACCCACGCAATTAACGCCCACATATCCGCTGGACATGGTAAACAATATTTGAGTATATTTTTGACATGCCCGAGCTGGATATTTTATTTACAAACTAATAAAAACGTGCCATCAGATAACTATGCGGTTTTTTTTTCTTCAGAGGTATACTATGACTCCCTATAGCACAACACAACGGTCTGGAAAGATAGAAAGGTGCGAATAAACAAACATATGATGAATAAGCACAATGCATTGCATATTTATAGATGGACATATATCTTACAATTAAAAAAAAAAAACCTACCCACTGGACAAGCTGGTTTTCTACAAACAAAAGGAAGATTAGTCCAAACCCACGTGAGAGCCCATCTGCCTTGCCTGTTACTTGCAATGGCAACATCTTCATCTGTTTCTCTTGGCTCGTTTGGCTGCCACATTCCATTACAAAACGTGCTGTTCAGAGAACCTTTGCCTGAATCTTGCTCATCTAAAATAATGGTAATGGGAACAGTTAGCAGAGGTCCCTCACAGTGGCTGTTGTATCAGAAGACTGAGCACTTAGGAGAATGGTTAATGTGCAGTGACGTTGATGGAGATACCATGACATATAATATTAACAGAAGACAAAATTTTGATAAACTAACTTAAGAAATAGTTTATGAGTAAAGAAAATTAGCTGTAAAATCAGTTAAAAGAAAATGTAACCATTTAAAAAATAATATTTTCTAACACCAGTGTGGAAAAAAATAAGCCTGTTTATTTGTTTGAAAAAATATACATCGTGATTTCTAATAAGATGAACATTATGTAAAAATATTTATTCTTTGATTCGCACATATTAAAATTATTTGCGTATCGTGACAATGGTGTTGGAAACCAACCCCAGCATTTGTTGTTACATTTGGTAGTTTGCCATTCATTGCCCCTGAATGGTCAACACGCCCTACCATTGTCGAAATCAACATCATGAATTCTAGTACTATTTTTAACGTTTTACATTGTCAAATGTCATGTGATTTAATGTTTATCATCCATGATTCATATGAATACATGCGATAACTCTGTCAAACCTTAAGACAACCTTAAGACATTTGCTGCAGGAGACGGGTCACGGAGCCACTATGGATATGCCCAATGTACTATGATGTTGATTCTCAAAAAACTAAACAGTAAACTCTTTTAGTACTAAAATTTGTTACTTTAACACTCTATTAAAAAAAAAATAATAAATGTTTAAATCTGTGGAGTTCAAAGTAAAATGCAGAAACAGCACACACTATTTTAAGACATTTTTGGTAGATACATATGAACTATGACTGTCACCCACTGTGCTAAGATTATCTAAACAGTGTAATTTATCCACCAGTTTATAAACAGTCAGTTTATCCAAACAAGGAAATGTATCGAGCAGTTTATTGAGAAAGTCTGCATTTTTTTTTCTGTATCAGACTGTGATCTCTGTTTAATTCTTTACACACTAATAATTAAGCAAAAACAAAACAGCTTGAACACAACACATCCAATGTTAGGATTAACATCTTTCTTTTTTTATCACTTAAATATCACTGACTTGAACACCTAACACAGGCTGAGTACTCACATCTGCCATTATAAACCCAGAAATGTTCACTGTTTGTAAATCTCTGTAAGGCAACAGAGGAAACATTTCTTGCCTCCACTTCATCTCTGACGACCAGAAGTTGAGACCCATACCTGTGACAGGAAACCATTGTTACTTAGGAGCTCTTTTATTGTAATTATTTTTCAAACTGCTAATTTAAGAACAGGATTTAGTATACATTTAAAATTTCATTCAGATTGTAATTCAGATGTATGCTGTCTCTTTGTTCATATAGTATATGTATAGCTTATGCAAATGAATACTTTTCCTATACTACATTAGACAGTAATCAATTAAGCTGACATATCCATAAATGAAATATGTATTATATGAAATAGCTAAAACAAAAATAGAATTGCTACTTATTACTATGAGGGGTTAAACATGATGTTAATAATATCACTAGTATGAGTCTGTTTTAATATATACATATATATATAAGACATATAGCAGTAAAGAAAGTTATTATACACTCAACAGATAAGAGTTCTATTTTCGAAACCGCACTAGGGGGGGGGGGGGGGGGGTGTTAAATAATTATTATGGTTCGCAAGTCAACTCAGCTAAAATGGTTATTATACTATGTTCTGGGAAGTAAATGTGGCCGTTGTGATGTTGACCTTATCAGCCATTGAGTGCCGATTTATTTATAAAAATCACTGTCGGTGTGCCAATTGCGAAAAAATGTAAAAACTTTAATGTACCAAACAACAGACCGTTAATAAATGTGAGCGCATTTCATTGCCACTAAAAATAACTGTACGAAAAGACGTTAATCTTTTCCTTTGCTAAAAATGCTTTCCATGAAGTCATGTAATAGCCAAGGTAATTTATTTCTAGAAAATTTATGCAGATACCCTTTGCTTAGCAAATAATATCTTTTAAAGCTGTTTTTAAAATGTCAAAACTATTTCATATTCAACATTGGTATCTGGCACATACCCAGAAAAAAGCCATGATAGAGATATGCAAAAAAAGTGTGCATTCAAACAGTAATACATGTGTATCCTGTTAATTATAAAAACAAGTCTCATCTAAAACTGACGTAACAGTAAAATATATATATATATATAATTAAATATATATATATATATATATTCTAGCCGTATATATATATATATATAAATATATCGATTCTAGCCGTACCAAATAACATATTTCATGTCACGGTGAAAACGTTTAAAATAAGTTTCGCAAGAACAAGAGAATATATTTTTTTAAAACATATTGCCAAACATACATTAAAATTTGTTAAAGGTCAGAAATAGTTTCTGATTACAGTGCCCCCTCTTTCCCCCCCCCCCCCCCCACACACAAACACACGCACGCCCTTCAGCCATCCCGACCCAGTAAGTATATAGAAAGTTGGTTACTTACTTGTGACACACATCTTTGGCATCTTCAAAGTCCATGCCGATTTGTACAAAATTGTAACAATGTGTACCAATGATGCCCCATCCTAGAAAAGAAAAACATGAAGCCTTTATGAATGTACACTAAATATACTAATACATCTATGATGAATCAAGAATTAACATCACAGCAATCGGGACAATACCGTAAGTGCTCAATCTCCTTTCTCAGTAGCCAACGAAGAATTCACATGCTAGCAGTGCCAGTGACAGTCTGATTAAAAGTCCGCCTGAAGAAACAGTTTCCAAATCCACAATGAGAAGGATTTTCCCCCATACATTTCCCGGCTCCGTGATCAGCGATGTTTAAAACGGTTACCCGGCAATGTCCTGGAAAGTAAAGGTGTTTGGCGTGATTACATCACCCTTTGGATTGCCAAGGATCTATAAAATATACGTCCGTAGTAGAGAAAAGTGTCCTTTATTTAAGCAAAACTGAGTTTACAATGTCGGATACTCTGACCATATACGAGAGTTAGCTCATAAACAGCAGCATTTCCCGAAAAACTGAGTTTACAATGTCGGATACTCTGACCATATACGAGAGTTAGCTCATAAACAGCAGCATTTCCCGAAAAACTAAGGTATTTTGGCCACGTTAAACGT